CAGAAAGCATTTCATCCTGGGACTAATAGGAGTTCTTCTTGACAAAAATTTTCTAGAGAGCATTTCTTCCTGACACTAATAGAAATTCATCTGGACAAAAATTTTGAGAGCATTTTGTCCTGGGATAAATAGGAGTTCGTCTGGACGAAAATTTTCCAGAGAGTATTTCGTCCTGGCACGAATAGAAATTTGTCTACACGATCAGGACTTAAAAAAATTTTCTTGTGTTCTGTTCATTCCATTGCTCTTCTGAGGGGATTAACTGACTTGATCGTCCCGTACGAACAAGGTTTGTCCCGTACGATCAGTGTAATTTTTAAAGATCTCCCCAAGTGTGTGTGTGTGGTAGGCTTACTCAATTAAAATCATATTTTCTCAAACTCAATTACAATAAAAATTACAAAGTTCAATTTACAAACTATCTCATGCTGAATTTTGATTTGAAGTGTTCATTAGTCTACAGTTCAATTATCCTGAAATGTTAGTCCACACAAGAGCAAAAATAAATTTCCAAAAAGTATTAGGAGAACACAAAGCTTAAAACAATAATATTTGGAATCATCAAAACTATACAAGTTGCAAGAAGATAAAACATGCAAATAGCAACTCTCTTAACAAATTTAAGTGTTTGAAGTTTTATATCAATCGGGGATCTATCCTAGCTTCTAGAATTTTTCTAAGTTTGCTAGATGTGACATTAATTAATTGTCCTCAGGGTGTCGCTACGTTAAGTAGAATTAAATCAAGTTTGAGACTATTCCTAGGGGTAACATTAAGTAAATTTATGATTTAAAATAAAATAGATATGAATTTATGAAGTTTAATGTATTTAAAAAGGCATTTTTAAATAATTCAAAATAATAAGTAATTAAAAACAATTATTAAATCCACTCAAAATAAATATTAAAGCTTCTAATATTTTTAAAATAGTTTAAAATAATTATTATAAATTATTATAAAGTATTTTTTTAATTTAATTAATTTAGTTAAATATATAAAAATTTAATTATTTTAATAATTTTGAAATTACTATTATTAATTATGATAAAATAATAATATAAGAAAGGATTTCTCTGATCTTTAAATTATTAAGGAAAATAATGTTCTCTCTTTTTTTTTAATATTAGAAAGTATTTGAATTTAAATTTAAGTAATTATTAATTAAGTTTTTAAGTGATTAATTATTTAACTAATTAAAAAATAATAACATAATTTTAAAAGTACATAATATTTTAAGTAGCTTTCTGATTTTAAATAAAATAAAATGTCATTATTATTTTTTTTATTTAAAATTAATCTTTAATTAATATATATATATATATACTTAAATAATAATATATAAAGATTAATTAAAATAATTAGATATTGAAATTAAATTTTAAATAAAATAAATTAAATATTCTCATAAATAAAATATTATTTTAAAATAAAATTTTAAATTTTATAAAAATATTTATCATTTTATGCTTAATTATTAATTTAATATAATAGGTATTTAATAATTAATGTAATTTAAAAATATACATAATACTTTTAATTAAAACTAATTTTCAATTAAAGAGGATAAAAATACGATCAATTTGATAAATTACATGTATTTTTTGCATTAAAATTGGATTTATAATAATTATTAAAAGAAATATCATTAAATAAAGGAATAAAAATTAATTTAAAATCAATTTAACAGAAAAGGCGGCGGTGGCGATGGTTAGACACGTGGCTGAGCGGGATTGGCTCCGCGATCTCTAGGCTAATCATTTGCAATGATTGCGATGTCGCACAATCATTGCAAATGATTGCAAAGGCGACTCGGTCACTTAACCACGTTAGCCTTGATCCGGGTCATTTATACCGCGTGGTTTGGAATTAATGGCCTTGATCGAGCAGGACCGAGAGTAGATCTAAGGGATCGAGATCTGCGGTCGTTCCAATCTGCAAAATGACGGGATCTCGACCGTTGATCGTAAAGATCACGCTCTAGCAGACAGAAAACCTAAGTTGAGATCTAAAATGATAATTAGGCTCGTTCGCTCGATACACCTAACCAAACTTCAAGAAAATTTTAAACACATATAGCCTATGTGAAGAACATCAATAGGGTACCATTTTTTAGGTTTGAAAAGGACTGTGTAAAAGCTATTTTAAATTTAAGTGTCCTAAGCTAGGGTATGTTATTTTACCTAATCCACATGGGGGATTCGAGAGATCTTGAGCTTGTTATACTTGTAGATTATCCACACTCCTAGTTGTAGAAGGAATCACGGTCTCAAATGCCTTGGATCGACGGGAATTTGCTTTGGAAGGATTTTAATCTCGGTTGGCTAGAGATCTCGCCGTCGGCGAGGGTTTAGCGATGAGTTTGGCTTGGAAAAGATTAGATGAGGTGGAGGGAACTCTTACACGAAATCTCACAGCTTTTGGAGGCCTAGAGAGAGAGATAAATAAAAAAAATATCCCCCCACATCAACCCTATTAGTCTATTTATACCCATAACCCTTGGATTGATGGCTAGGATTAAATCAAGAGTGAATTAGGAGGGAGAAGAGGTGATTTGGATTGGGTTTGAATGAGGGAGCCCATTAGGAAATAATTAATTCATTAAAAGGGGTTAATTTGGCCTTAATAGGTAAAATTTAACTTAATTAGAGATTGGGTTGACCAAGTCAATGGTTGACTTGGTCAACCTAGGCAATTAAGTACAATGAGCAAGTAGGTTTGAACTCAAGATGGCTTGGGATTGAATTGAATTTGAATGAGAAGGGTTTTGACCCAATTAGGCCTAGTTTGACCAAATTGAGCTAAGGTTGACCCAAGCATGGGTTGACCCAGTCAACATGGTCAACTAGGCCTAAATAGGTGGAGGGTTGAGCCAAAGGTAAGATTGGAATTGGATTAGAGCTTGAATCGACCACATAGAGCTTAATGGGTCAACCAGGTTGACCTGGGGCAAGAGTCTGGGATTAATGGACTGGGTCTAACCCACTAAGTCCAGAGAAGAAGAGAATTGAGCCCAAGAAGCGCTAAATTGGATTTGAAATTGAAAGGAAGGGAATTGGGCCAATTTGGGTCAACCCAGGTTGAACAAGGGCCTCGGTCTGGGCTAAGCAGACTTGGTTTAACCCACTGAACACAAAGGAGGTGGTCTTGGGTTCTGCCTTGGTCAATTTGATTAAATCTAATTCTTTGACCCAAGGGTTAAGCAAAAGGAGGGTCAATAACTCCTTCCTGATCAACTCAACAAACGTTGATGGAAGTTCACTACCCAAGAAAACGTCCAAGAAAAAATCACACAAAGTGGCATGATGAGATCTGAAATCATCACCTTATCACATTCTCTATGAACAAAATGAAAAATAACGTTCTTAAACAACTCTAAAAAGAAAGATCCACTCTATGTGCCTTCGGCTTATTCATGTTAGGAGGAGGCTTCAAAATTGAATTCTGAATGAGCTTTATAATATTAGCATTATCACTTTCAATAATAATGTTTTTTAATGTCTATCATCTAGTCATGAAAAAAAAAATTAAATTTAGAATAGCAGACAGTTCCAAAAAGGATTCATCCCAATGAATGACTTGTTTCCCATATGCACAAAGAAATCTTATTCTATAATCTCTCAAAACCCCAGCTATACCCGCCAGGATAGACTGCATAAAAGCTGCATCAACATTTAATTTGATCCAATCTTTAGGTGGGGGTACCAAGCATTCAACATCACATCATGTTGATTGGTGTCCCAGTTCTTTTCGATTGGAAACAAATGTAAATATGAAAAATCAGATAAAATTTATGCAGCAATGCACGAAGCTGAAGGAACAGATTTATCATGCTTACACAAATTCCTAGCTCTCCAATTTTGATAAACAACAGAGATGTAAATTCTGGCAAGACCTAACCGCGTCCCCACAGCCTTCTTCAAACCTTCATAATAACAGCTAAAGCTGTGAAACTTAGGAACATGAATGCCCCATTGTCACAGCCTATCCAACACTTCAATTAATTTGATACATTTAGTCTTATCTTCTTGTTGATTAGACTAGAGAGGGAGTTGAAGGTAAACTTGAATTATGGAGGTCAACCTTAGAGTCTAAAGGTTTTCGCTTGAGTAGATCTAAAACGGAATATATGGAGTGTAATTTTAGTAGTAATAGTCCTAGTGAGGGGATTGTGACTTTGGGCGATCAAGTCATTAATAAGAGTACACGTTTTAGATATCTTGGATCTATTGTTCAGAGTGATGGTGAAATAAATGGGGATATTATCAACAGAATTCAAGTTGGATGGTTGAAATGGAGGAATGCATCGGGCTTGTTATGTGATAGAAATGTACCCCTCAAACTTAAGGGAAAATTCTATAAGATGATAGTGAGGCCTGCAATGCTTTATGGTGCCGAATGTTGGCCATTAAAAGAGAAGCATAATACTAAGTTAAGTGTGGCAGAGATGAGGATGCTCAGGTGGATGAGTGGCTTTACACTTAGAGATAGGATACGAAATGAGCATATACGTGAAAAGGTTGGAGTAGCTCCAATAGAAGATAAGATTAGAGAGAGTCACCTTAGATGATTTGGTCACATAAAACGGCGGCCTTGCGATGACCCGGTTAGGAGAGTAGAGGTATTAGATTTGACTTATGTTAAGAAAGGTAGGGGTAGACCTAAAAAGACTTGGTTAGAAAATATTAGGAATGACCTTTCTTTATTAGATTTAAACGAGAATTTGACTTTTAATAGGACACAATGGAGAAAAAGGATTCATGTAGCCGACCCCACGTAGTGGGATAAAAGCTTGATGTTGTTGTTGTTGTTGTATTTAGTAGCAATATGCTCCAGGCTTTTAGTTTCCTCACAATTTCTTGGACAACAGTAGTTTTGATACAGCTTTCTATGAAACAAGCAAGAGTTTTTAGTTAGAGCACTATTACAAAGCCTCCACTAAAATAAATACTCCATTCTAGATATTTTTAATTTATTCATCCACTTTACGTAAGTCAAGTTGTTTAGTTGAAGATGAGAATTAGCATCATACGCCAGTAGCAATAGATTTACCGGTATTAGAACAAAACAGTTGCAGCTCATCTTCCTCTGAATCCCTTACTACAGGAGTATTCAAAAATCAGTTTAATCAAATCATGAGAGAAATAGGTTTTTTAAATCCCCATATCAGGGAATAGAGGTGAAATAGAGGTGAAATAGAGGTGAAATAGAGGACCAAAACAGAGCAAGCATCAATCAGGGCTGGCTATCCTTGTGGTGGAGTAAATTCTATGTGGGCGCTTTCACTCTCCATTTCTCCCATTCTCCATACCGCGGACTCGCAACGAACCCCCCTCTCCCCCCTCTCCGGCGGAGGCACCTCCCCTCGCCGGCAAACATTCACCCTTCCTCCCATCTACTCCACCTCCTCCGGCAGAGACGTCTGGTTCAACCCCAATCTCGATGGTTGCCCATCCAGAATCCGCACGAGAAGACCCCAAAATTCCCGCCATGGTCACCATCAATACCTCAACCGAAGCGTGGACATGGATGCCCTCCTCGCCGCCCTCTCCTCCACCACCACCGCCACGGAGCTCCACGCCGTCATGTCCCCCTATCTCCCCCCTCACTCGTCTTCCGCCCACCACCCTCCCCTTTCCCCGCGCTTCATGATCTCCCTCCTCTCCCGCGAGCCTGACCACCGCCGCTCTCTCGCCCTCCTCGACTGGATGCACGACGCCGCCCACTATCCCCCTTCCGCTGTCGCGTATAACGTCGTCCTCCGCAACGCTACCCGTGCCGGTGACTTCTCCCTCGCCGCAGGCCTTCTCTACGAGATGCGTGGCTCCGTTTCCGCCGACCGTTACACATACTCTACCCTTCTGTCCGCCCTCTCCCGCTCCAACCTCCTTGATGCTGCTCTCTCTCTTCTCCCTTTCATGGATGCTGACTCCATCTCCCCTGACCTCGTCCTCTTCTCTAGCCTCATCTCCCTCGCCCTCCGCCTCGGCGACCATTCCAAAGCTCTAGCTCTCTTTTCCCGCCTCCGCGCCGCTGGCATCACCCCTGACCTCATTGCATACAACTCCCTCCTTTCAGCCCTCTCCCGCGCCGGTCTATTCCGTGAAGCCCGCCGAATACTCCTCTCCGACATGGACGCCGCCGGCGTTCCCCCCGATACCATCTCCTTCTCCACCATCCTCGCAGCTCTCGTCGCTCGCAGCCGCTTTCTCGAAGCCCTCTCCCTTTTCCACGAGATGCGCTCCCCCCAACGCCGCCTACCCCTCGATCTCACCACATGCAATATCATCCTCGATGCCTACGGCCAACTCGACATGGTCCGCGAAGCAGATCGCTTCTTCTGGAGCATGCGCCGCCTCGGAGTCCCCCCATCCGTCGTCACGTGCAACACCATGCTCCGCGTCTACGGCGACGCCGAACTCTTTGGCGAAGCCGTCCACCTTTTCCGCCTCATGCAGCGCCAAAACATGGAACAGAACGTTGTCACCTACAACACCATGATGAAGATCTACGGAAAATCTCTCGAACACGAGAAAGCTGGTAACCTCCTCATGGAAATGCAGCGCCGAGGCATAGAACCTAATCCCATTACTTACTCCACCATCATCTCCATTTGGGCTCGCGCTGGAAAACTCGACCGCGCCGCCAAGCTCTTCCAGAAGATCCGCGAATCCGGTGTAGACATCGACCCTGCACTGTATCAGACCATGATCGTGGTATACGAGCGCGCCGGGCTCGTAGCGCACGCAAGGTGTTTGTTGCATGACCTCAAAGAGCCGACAAACAAAATCAGCAAAGACACGGCGGTTACTATTCTAGCTGGAGCTGGCCGTCTCGAGGAGGCCGCGTGGTTATTCCGCCGAGCTGAGGTGAAGAGCATTGAGGTGTTCCATTCCATGATGGATCTGTTCGCCCGGAACAAGAAGCACGCCAATGTCGTCGAGGTGTTCGACAGAATGCGAGCTGGCGGACTATTCCCGGACTCGGAGATGATTTCCATGGTTCTGAATGCTTATGGCAAGCTTCAGAAATTCGAAAAGGCAGAGGCTTTGTACAGTGAAATGGAAGAGGAGGGATGCATTTTTGCAGATAAGGTCCATTTTCAAATGCTGAGCTTGTTGGGGATGAAGAGGGATTTCAAGAGAGTGGAAGAATTGCTTGAAAAGCTAAGAAATTATTCGGATATTGATAAGAAAGAACTGCATATTGTGGCAGCGAATTTGTACGAGAGAGCTAATAGGCTCGACGACGCTGCTCGGATTGTTGGGCAGATGAATGAGAGAACCTCGGTCTCAAATGCCTTGCAGGTGGAGTAGATGAGGTTGAAGCTTGAACATAATCTGGGTTGTAAAAGTTAATATAATTAATTTTTTTGAGAGATTCATGTAAATGATATTAAAATGTATTATGCTTATAAAATCATTGTGTAAAAAAAAAGGGATTAATGTGTTTTTGTGGGGATGACTTGGTGTGTTATACTTATCCTCTCTACAAAGTTTAATGATACAAGTACAATTAAGTTTAGTAAATATTTGCTATAAAATAAATAAGTCTAAGTAGCATGCAGCTTTCAAAAAAATGAATAAATAACCCATTATGAACTCTCAGAAGAGGGAGCAGTATTAACAAGTTTATCATTTTTTTTTACTTGAGCTTGAATTAATCATATTTAATTGGTTGATTTGGTCTGAACTTAATTTAAATGATCGTTGAAGGTTGAATAACTCAATCTTAATAACATTGGGTGTAAACTAATTCATCGGCTATCTTGTCTCTTTGAAGAAATTTATAAAAGAACAAAATAATAATAACTATCACTAATCAGCACATTGATTATGACTGATTATTTTGATTCAACATTTGATTAACACAACATGCCTCAAGAATATAAATACTAAGAAGTTTCTTTTAAAATACGCTGCTTTTAAGAAAACCAACAGTAAGGAGGTTTCTATGATTTTGTTAAAGAGCTTCAAAGAAAGAGAAGCATAATTCTATGATGAATCTTATTTTTTGTGCCATCTTTGAAGAAGATTTAAGAAATAATAATTGAGGACGGTGATAAGGCATAAAATGAATAAAGCTAATATTGTGAACTCCATTATAAGTCGACTTCTTCGGACAATTCTCCTAGAGTCTTACATTACACATAAACATCCACCAAATTCCCCACCATTCATACCCTTCTCATTACACATTCCAAACACATAAACATATAAATAATTGTATTGCCAACATAAAGCAATAGCAATTGAATATTTATATTTTTAACATGTATAACCAATAAAACCAAAACTTTTAGTATATGAGAATAGTAACATCAACAAATTTCAACACATAAAAGAAGTATCAATAAAATAGAGGATTATATAAAATACTCACTTGTATGACAACCTTTATGTCTTTGAGGAAATACTTTCTTATATATATTCAATGTTGGAAAAACTTAAAACCAATCATAGATAATGTTTATAATATTGTTTCAGGAATTTTATCATTCTATAACACTTTTTGTCAACACCAACATAATTAGGAAATTACATGAAAATCCCTGCATTTAAATTCACATGGTAAAACTTTTGATTTTTCTTATTAAAAAGCTTAAAATTCTCTATTCTATGTCAAATCAAAAGTTACACGATAGAAATTTTTTCAAATATATTTAAATTAATTAAAACCCCTAATGTTTTATCCTGTTTAACCAAATTAAAATTTGAAGGAGGATAATGAAAGCCTACCTCAAGATGAATAATTCCTTCAATTGGCCCGACAGAAGAACTTGCTTTGCAGCCCCCAAACCTTATGTTCTTCTTTCTTTCCCCTTCTCCAATTCCACTCCCAAAGCTTCTAAGGGGTGAAATAGGGAGAGGGATATTAGGTTAATGATTTTAGATATTTGTATAAGAACATGAAAATTTACCTAGCACCACAACGCCACCTTTCCCAATTTTGTAGCACTTTGTTCGCATATTCCATATGCTCCAGGCAGAGATCTTGCTGCCATAGTTCCCACTTCCATCACCACAACACTCCCATAAAGTGCCACCAAGTTCAAGATACCAATGCTCCCAAGGAGTTTTCTATGCTTGACATTTCTTACTTTTCTAACTCGACTATAGATTTATATGGACTTAATTAAACATAACATAATTTAGAATTTCTCAAACAATTAACATATATAAAGGAAAACATAACATCCTTGCTAGGTTTGGTTCGGTTTATTTTAGGTGGACTCATGTTTATAACAATAGTTATCATATTCTCCCCTCACAAAAATGCCATCATCGACATTTCCATATAAGTTAGCACTTAAAATAATTTTGAATACTTTATCTTATTTCAACTTCTTTCTCTCAGGTTGTTCCCATTCTAACAAGTATTTCAATTAGACCTTGATCATAAGGATTTATTAAATTTTTAACTATTTCACATCATAAACCATAATGCTTTTAGGTTCTTCTTTATATATCAAATTAGGCCTCACTTTAACTTTGTCTATAGGAACTCCTGCTTAAGCTCAGAAACTCATTTCCTTAGCTCTAACACATGAATTACACTCTGTACATTTGACATATGATCTGGTAACAACAATCTATAAGCAAACTTCCTAATTCTTCCAATTACTTTAAAAAATCCAATACACTTTGGACTTAACTTACTCCTTTCATATTATTGATCTTTAAGATAACAAATCACCTACTTAAAATTTAATAGTCTGATTCTTTGGATCATAATATTTTTTATTTATATTCTGAGATACTTCTAATCTTTTCATTACTAATATGATTTTCTCGATAGCATCATTACCAATTTAGGGACTATCCTTCTCCTTTCACCTACTTCTATTTAGCACAACAATATCATGCACTTCTTACCATATAGTGCCTCATATAGTGATATACCAATATTTAACTTAAAACTATTATTATAAGAAAATTCGACCAAAGAAATATGATTCTCCCAACTCCCATGAAAATTTAGTACATAATTAATTTTCTAACACCTGAATACTCTCAAACTGCCCATCAATCTACAAGTGGAAGGATGTACTAAAATTTAGCTTGGTTCCCAATCTTTCTTGAATACTTTTTCACAATCTAGAGGTGAAACTTCCAGCTTAATAAAAAATAATATCATTTAGTATTTCGTGTAATTTTTTAATCTCTCACTTAAATAAATTGGCAGACTTCTCCACAGAGTCTGTTTGTCTCATCGAAATAAAAGGAGTTGACTTTTTCAATCTATCAATTATATCCCAAATAGCATAATGACCCTACCTTGACCTTAAGAATCCCATAACAAAATTCATTTTAATTTCTACCAATTTCCACTCTGGAGTATATATTGGATACAATAAACCATTAAGTCTCTTGTGCACTGCTTTTACCATCTAACATGTTTCAAACTTTCAAACAAACTCTAGTACATCCTATTTTAGTTTAGGCCACCAAAATGTCAGCTTCAAATCTTGATATATTTTTCTATTGCTTGGATGAATTATGTATCCATAATAGTGTTCTTCATGCATAATTTCATTCCTTAAAGTACCATTAGCTTGAGCTCATAATTAATCACCATAGTTTAATAAACCCTAATCATTTACTTGATATTCTAGTCTCTTTATAGACTGAATCTGATCAATCATTTAATTTATATGCTTCCTTAATTTTAGCTTGCAATAAAAACTAAGAAATCATCTCAGAACTAATTCTTTCCTTCACCTCACATGGACATACAACCAAAATACAATTGAACATTTAATTCTTATAACTTCCTTTGTTAGCATTCTATAAGGGGCTTTTGCAATTAGTGATGTACCAAGCATCCCCTTAAATACAAAACTCTCTCTCTCTCTCTCTCTCTCTCTCTCTCTCTCTCTCTCTCTCTCTCTCTCTACTAGTAAACTTATAAACACTTCTGAGGGAATAAATCAAGAAATTATCATACTATTGGAATGCCATCAATATTTCCAATAATTTTACTCCCATCCTTTACATAAGATAGAAATACACAATTCTCCTTTCTCCATAACTTTTCAACTTATAGGGTTGATATTAGACATAAAATACACCTCTAACCCTTTGGAAAAAAAAAACACTTCTCCATTAAAATAAAATGCTACCCTTTTTCTACTACAATTAATATGAGCCTCGTACTTACCTAACCAGTCCATCCCAAAATAGCATGAAATTCAATCAAGGGAAACACAATCAATGTAGACTCTAAATTCCCATCTAAGATTCAAATTCACAAATGCAAACTTAGTTAAAAACTAAGAAATCCCCCCCATAGAAAATATAATAGATAATCTAGATAATAAAGGAATATAAGATAAACTCAAGTTATCCAAAATATTTTAGAAATATATGAATGCTAGCTCCAAAAATAAATAAAACATGATAGGACAGAGCAAAAATGGCTAACAGGTATGTCACAACATCTGGAGCATTCCTAGGCTCTTGTTAAGTCAAACTATAATCTCTGGGCTAGCCTGTAACAATACTGAAAATAAGACTAGCCTTTCTATGAGCTCCATTGGATTGACTCCAACTAAACCTCTCCCGATTCTACTAGATGATCCCTAACCATCAACTCTCGAAGGAACGGCTCCTAACTGCCGTCCCAATGTGTGGTCTCTTTTAACCTCTAACTTCACTTCCTCTTCTCAGCAGGGGTACTAAGCTATCATGTGACTTAAATAGCCACATCTAAAACATTGACCAATAAATAGAAAGTAACAACCCTGATGTATTATGCCTTAAGATCTACATATTGCAGTGTAACTTATAAACATAGAAGAACTAAAACCACTTGAAACTACTCGACCTCCCCTCCTGGACTCAATGGCTTGAATCGACCCTTCTTCTCACTGACTTGACTCTTAGATGGCTCCCCTCCAAGCCTCTTCATGCAAGTATTCCATTTCTACTGGGTCACCATCAATCCATTCTTTATTAATATGATCCTCTTAATGTGTTTAATGAAATTATTAATACAAAAAGAAATTAATGGTTTTCTCAAATTATATATTAGGACTCTCATGAATCTATAACACTTCTCCTCATAACGTTTTAATAAACTACATGGTAAACCTTGTTAGTGTCGTAAACTCGTATTCATATTGCATCACAAACTTGCCTCACTACACCAACCTAAGGAATGACTTATGTATCTACTGCCTAGTTGATTGTGACACAAAATAATCTCTAAATATCTCAACACATTCATCCTACAAAATATTTTCTTTAAACTTTCCTTGATACTTCTCCTTTTGCTAGCCTAACCCACAGCATTCAACTTTTCCATCTAATAGAAATACTGCTAATAATACCTTCCAACATTTAGTGCACTTCATATTATCGAACATCTTTTTTGTCCTTAGCAACCAATCTTCAACTACTCTAGGCTCCACATCAACTTTGAAGAGGCTTTAGCCTTTGAAATGTCTGTAGGTTCTTATCAAC